TTGACTTGTTATCAACAAACAGCTTCATCTTCGATTCCATTATTCTGAGTTCTTCAATTAGCATTTCGATCCATGCTGCTTGGCATGTAGCATATGATGCAGCTACATATTCTGCTTCACATGATGACAAAGCCACAATGCTTTGCTTCCTAGAACTTCAGGAGATTGGAGCTCCTTCGATCATGAAAATGTAGCCTGCATTTCTCTTCTTTTCATCTTGATCTCCATTGAAGTCTGAGTCAGTGTATCTTTGCACTTCGACATCTGTATTGTTCTTCGACTTCTTTGGTAACAGCACACCATGCTTAATGGTTCCCTTGATGTATCTCAACACCCTCTTCACTGCAATGAGATGACATTCCTGAGGCTTCTCCATAAATCTGCTCAACAATCTTATACTTTGGCAGATATCTGGTCTTGTATTGCAAAGATACCTCAGTGATCTAATGATTTGTTTGTAAAGAGTCGAACTTACAAAATCATCATTCAATTCCTTTTTCGGCTTTTCTCTAGTCTCTAATGGAGTAAAAATTGCCTTACAGTTGCTCATATTGAACCTCTTCAATATATCTTGAGCATACTTAGTTTGATGCAAAAAAACTATTTCTTCGACGTCTTTGAATTCCATTCCCAAGAAATAGGAGAGATTCCCTAAATCATACATTTTGAATTCTTGCATTAACTTTGACTTTACCTTCATTATCTCAGCTTCGTCTGCTCGTGTAATGAGTAAGTCATCAACATAGAGGCATAAAATGATTCGATTGACACTTTCGACATCATTTACATGCACCCCATGTTCAGAGACACACTTTGTGAAGCCTGCTTCAATTAGGAAGCTATCTATTCTTTTGTTCCAAGATCTAGGAGCTTGCTTCAAGCCATAGAGAGCCTTCCTTAATCTTTACACTTTCGAATCCTGCCCTTTGACGTTGAAACCTGGTGGTTGAGTAACATATACTTCTTCTTCCAATGGACCATTCAAAAATGCTGACTTCACATCAAGTTGGTGCATTTTCCATCCTCTATATGCAGCTATCAAAACAATAATCCTGATTGTTTTGATCCTCGCAACAGGGGCATATAGTTCATCGAAGTCAATACCTAGTTATTATAGAAAACCTCTGGCCACCAGTCTTGCCTTGTACTTTTCAACCTCACCATTTGGCCTTTGTTTCACCTTGTAGATCCATTTCACATCAATTGGTTTCTTGTTGGTTCTTTCGACAAGCTCCCAAGTGTTGTTCTTCTCAATGGCTCTCAGTTCTTCTTTCATGGCTTCACACCAATTCTAATTGCTCAAGGCTTCACCTAAGTCAATTGGTTCTGCTTCAGCCATCGTCATGGCTTCTTCGATTAAGTCATCGTCAACATCAATTGCTTGATCTGGAAACCTCTCATATCCAGTCAGCCTAGTCGACTCAGTTCTTGTTCTTGTGGATCCTTTTTCATTTTGCATAGGTGGTTCTTCATTTCGACCAGTCGAAGTATCACCTTGCTCATATTGAATTGTCTAAGCTTCATTATGTTCATCTTCTTCGAACACGGTTGTGACTGTGTCTGATTCTTGTTGAACTGTACTTTAAATCCAATCCCACCCTTTGCTTTCGTCTACAAGAACATCTCTACTGATCACTAGTTTATCTTTCATTGATGAATACAACTTGTATGCATCAGTCGAATGATAACCTATGAGCACCATGACTTCACTTTGACCATCCAGCTTTTTTCTTAATTTTTCAGGTACATGCCTGAAACACATTGATCCAAAAATTCTAAGATGACTTACATTTGGCTTCGACCCTGTGCAAGCCTCATGTGGTGTCTTTTCGACCATATTCTTTGTTGGGCATCTATTTAGAATGTATACTGCTGTCGAAGCTGCTTCAGCCCAAAATATCTTAGGCATATTCTTAGCTTTCAACATACATCTTGCCATGTTCAGTACACTTCTATTCTTTCTCTCAGCTATACCATTATGCTAAGGCGTATAGGGTGCAAAAACCTCATGCTCTATACCTTCCTCATTGCAAAATCTGGAAAATTCAACAGAAGTATATTCACCACCACCACCAGTTCTTAACTTCTTCAATTTGCAGTCACTTTATTTCTCAGCATGCAACTTGAACTTCTTGAACTGTGTGAATACCTCACTCTTCCTTTCAATAAGGTAAATCCACATGTGTCTGGTGAATTCATCAATGAAAGTAAGGAAATACATGTTACCTCCATTGGACTTTACTTCAAAGGGCCCACACACATCTGAATGAACGAACTCCCGTTTTTACCTTGATCTTATAGGAAAGTCACGTTTGAATGCCTTCCTTGCCTGCTTAGCTTTGCAGCATTCCTTACATGCCTGCTTTGGTTCCTTCACATACAGCAACCTAAGCACCATTCTTTTTTGATTGAGCATACATAAACTCTTGAAGTTTATATGTCCATACCTGTGATGCCATTAGCTAGTTCTTGTCTTCTTCTGCAGTCGAAGCAAGACATTTATGATCTGTTGTGTTGAGTTCAACCTTGAACGTTTTGTTCTCCGCCAATGGTGCTTTCATGATTAGCTTCTCATCAGCCCTATATACCTTCATCTGATTATTCTCCAACTTCATATTGAAGCCTTTTGCAAGTAATTGACCTACACTTATCAAGTTACTTGTCATCAAAGGTACATACAGAACTTCAATGATAGTAGCCTTTCGACCATACTTTCTGATAATCGAAATATCTCCTTTACCACCTGATTTGATATGCCTGCCATCTGCAAACTTTATCACCTTTTCGATGACTCATCTAACTTGGTAAACCAGTTTTTATTGCCAGTCATGTGGTTGCTACATCCTGAATCCAAATACCACATGTTGTTTTTCTCAGTGTTCGATTGAGTGTTCACCAGCAGCAACACATCATCAGAATCACTACTTTCAGCTCGTGCATATTGAGCTTCATCACTATCTTTCGACTTCGCAGCTTTCTTTCTTCGACAGTCTCTAGCATAGTGGCCAAAACCTTGACAGTTGTAACATTGCACCTCTTTCGTGTCAACTTTCTTCCCAGAATACTTGTTGCACACTCCTTTTGAATCAGTATTCTTGCTTGACTTCTCATCACCAACAAGATTCTTTCGCTTTTCCGATTTCTCTTTTTCAACTTTCTTGTTGAATCTTGATTGCAATTCTTGTTCACCTGCCTTCTCCCTTTCTGAGTTTCTTTGCTGCAGTCTCATTTCATGAGCCTCCAAAGAAGCTTGAAGTTCTTCCAACTTCATCTCAGATAGATTCTTGGCCTCTTCGATTGTTACAACAAAGTAATCAAAGTCTGCAATTAAAGAACTCAATAACTTTTCTATCTTTTGCAGATCCGTAAGCGCTTCACCACACATCTTCATTTGGTTTGTCAGTGTCACAACTTTTGAAAAATATGCAGAAACAGATTCATCTTCTTTTATCTGCAGTATCTCATACTGCTTTCTCAGAGTCTGCAACTTCACTTTCTTTAATTTCTCATCTCCACCATACAAGGACTTCAGCTTTTCCCAAGCTCCTTTTGTTGTTTCTTCTTCGATTATCTTCTCAAACACATCACAATCCACACACTGGTGAATCAAGAACAGCGCATTGCCATCTTTCTTTCTCTGATCTCTGTGCGCGGCTTTCTGGACTTCCGTTGCATCTACCTTCAGTTCTGAAATTCCTTCATTCAAGATTTCTACAACATCTTGAAATCTGAAAATAACCTTCATTTGTGTCACCCATCTTTGATAGTTTTCACCTTTGAAAACTGGTAGATTTGCTGAAAATTGTGTTGATGTTATTGATCTGTTTGCCATTAGATTCTCTCTGAATCGCAAATAAGCTCTTGATACCAATTTGTTGGAACAAAAGATTCAAGAAAGATGAATATAGTGAAAAACAATAACAACAAGAAGAAGAAGAAGAGAGAGATAATGATTTTGAGTTAGTTGATGTAACTAACTTCTAACTGAATTTGTTATTATTGTTGCAACTGCTTGCTTGTTATTACAAATACAATGGTCTTTTATATAGGTAAAGTGCTCAGGCCCAAATATGCTAAAAGCTCAAATAACAACAACCAACTAACACCAACATCTCCGTGTTTCATAGAATCTCATCTCTCCATAGTGTAATCAAGATATTTCGAATCCACCTTATCATATGCTTTTTTGATATCAGATTTAAATAATAATATTTTTTAACACCTTATCTTAGCATCATCTATTAACTCATTTTCTATAAGAATACAATCCAGCATTTTATCGATCCTCCAGGAAGGCAGGCAAACTGAGATTTAGAGATTACCTTATGAATACTTTCTTAAGTCTGTTTGCAAGAAACTTGGCAAAGAACTTACACATACACTCGATTAATGATATTGTCAAATTCTCAATCTTTGAGATTAAAGTTATGAAAGAACTATTTGCAAGAAAAATTTGTGTCAAATATGTTAATTAGGACACTTCACAGTCTTATCTCTGTCACACCCTACCATCCACCTCTACTTTTCTTTCTCAATTTCTATCTTCCTTCTATAGTCTATCACTTTCATCATTACCTTCTAATTTCTCTACAAATATGTTACTCCTTCATAAAGATTAATTCACTTACATTTTATTTTTGCTCTTTTTTTTTTTTTTACCTCAAAAAAGTGAATGATGCCTTTCTCTATCTACATGTCACAGCCACCTGTTCACTATAACAAGGTTCTGTATAAATGTAATTATATTCTTCTTCTTTTGTTTTTTTGAGGAAATAAATGTAATTATTCTTACTTGTGTCTATGTGTGTATATCCAAGTCCAATGGCTAAGATTCTTCATTTCTTGGCTCTCAAAAAGTAGCTATCACGAGTAATAAATACACGCACAGCCATATTTTGAATCAAACAAACAAACTAGAATATCGTATCTTTGCTTTTCTCTCTTCTCTTTTTTCCTCTCTTCTCCAACTTCTAGTGTTTTGTTTTTCTTCAAAGCCAAATATGTTCCCTGCACTTATGTCCAATTCCACTTCTTTCTCAGAACAAACCACTCTCTCTTCTGCTAGATTAAACCACGTTGTTTCAACCATTAATTCCTCACAACTTCCTCAAAAGACCAAGAAAAAAAGAAGCCTCCCTGGTAACCCAGGTATCTAGTATCTAGTAGTCTGTCTTGCATGCCCTCAAAGACGGACTTGTATATATGCATGAGCTTCAATTGATATTTATTATACATATATTGACATATTTTATTGATTATGTAATTGGTTTGGTTAATTCAGATCCTGATGCGGAAGTGATAGCTTTATCACCAAAGACACTATTAGCAACAAATAGGTTTGTATGTGAGATCTGCAACAAGGGTTTTCAGAGAGATCAAAACCTTCAACTACATAGGAGAGGACATAACCTACCATGGAAGTTGAAGCAAAGGAACAACAAAGAAGTGATTAAAAAGAGAGCTTATGTTTGTCCAGAGCCTTCATGTGTTCATCATAACCCTTCAAGAGCTCTTGGTGATCTTACAGGAATTAAGAAACATTACAGTAGAAAACATGGTGAGAAAAAGTGGAAATGTGGTAAGTGCTCAAAGATCTATGCTGTTCATTCTGATTGGAAAGCTCACTCTAAAACCTGTGGTACTAGAGAATATAAATGTGATTGTGGTACCCTTTTTAACAGGTATAGTACTATACTACTTGTACATAAATATTTTTCATGTTAATTTCATATCATGTTTTATTAAGTTAATCCATTTTTTCTCCTTCTTGATTAGTTTTTTTTTTACTTTAAACATGTTACTGTTTTAGATCAATTATTATAAGTTCTAAAGAGACCTAAATTTAACTTCTGTTTTATGATCCTATAAAAAACACAAACCAAACACAGTTTTTTTGTTTTTATCTATTATACTGTAATATCTGTGACTGAATAGCAATTTGGTTTGTTTGTATTTTTTATCATCATGATGCATGCACATGCATGTCAGCATGAACAGTATACTATTTTTACAACATTATGTGTAAAAAGAAAATGAAAGAAAAGTTTCCAAATTCCAAATGTGTCAGGGTGCTCAATTGTTTTGTAGACATATATGTTGATGAGTGGGTGCAGTCTCTAAGAAAATGATGGAAATCTATTTTTGTCTACTGAAAAAGTAAAAAGAAGTTTAATCAATATAGTTGGAAAATTTGTGATGATTTCTTACTTTTTTTCTCAATTTTCAATTTTGGAATGAAGTTTTTTTCATCATTGTGAAATCTGATAAATCTGCAAGAAATCTGATATTCTAAATTGCTTTTTTGTATAGCTAGCTTCATATCTCAATTCCTAATTATCTTTGTGTCGTGCATGAGCATGAGTTCTAGTTTCCCAAGATTTCCACCATCATAATTAACAACACTGCCAATAATCCTTATAAAGCAAAAAAGGGTATCCACATCATCAATTGCATCATATCCTTGACATTGTCACATAATTTATGTCCATCTTGGTCCAAACCCATTGCATGATAATTTTCTCACTTGCCTTTTTGTTTTGCTAATGGGGCACATTCTACAAGAATTTTACATGACTTCCTTCCCAAGACACATATGGTCCTCGTATATGTGCTAATAATCTTTGTGTTAGATCGGTCTATAAATATAAATATTTACAGAGCTTCTCAGTCTTTAAATGGACTTCCCACTAGTAGTCGGTGAACTTAATTTCTTTAGATTAGTCGGTGTTAAGGTCAGCTACGTAGAAAATATATAATACTATTTATTCTCTTATGAATTTCAGGAAGGACAGCTTCATAACACACAGAGCATTTTGTGATGCATTAGCTGAAGAGAGTGCAAGAATGTCAGCAAACATATTATCCACTGCCACCAACACTAACACAAACTCATTAGCCCAATCTCTCTTCCTCTTCCAAAACCAACAAAGCCACATCACATGGGACCCACGTCAACAAAACCCTAACCCTAGCAACCTCCATCACAACATCAAGCCTGAATCTCAAACCTTCCCTCTCCCATTTCTTCATCACACGACCAACAAGACCAACATCATGGCATCATCACCCTTCCACGTCAGCACACAACAGCCTACCACCAATTCCGCCACGTCACCACACCTCTCAGCAACTGCACTTCTCCAGACAGCAGCAACCGTCGGTGCTGCCGCCATCACAGGTCAGCACACCTCACAACTCAGCATGGGCGAGCTCGGATCGGTCACTCATCTAGACTCGGTTGATCACTACATTAACAACATGAGAGGCTTCACAAAGAATGACCAAGGTCTCACGAGAGACTTTCTTGGCCTTACAAACAACGGCGGTGGCTCCATCGACGTAAAGGATATGCTAACATTCACAGGGGGTGTAGAGTATGAACAAAACATGATGTTCAAGTCACAACAAGGTTTTGGTTTCTTTGGAACAACGACAACAAGTGTTCCCGAATCATGGGGGAATTGTTAGAACCAAAACAACTTTGGCCTTATTTCTCTCATGTACTCTCTTGTCATGAAGTACTTGTATTTTTAAGATTACCTCATTTCAATTTCTCTTTTTTCTTTTGACAGATTTATGTTTCAACTGTGATGTTTCATTTCAGTGTTCCTTCCTTCCTTATATGCTGTCGTTGTTTACTATTTCTGGTTTCTGCATACATTGAATGCTTAGTCAATTATACTTTCTTCTTTTCATATTAATTGTTTCACGTGAGAGACTAAGATTATAAGATCATTTTCAAAATAAAATTTTAAACCTAACACTAAATATTGTAGTGCATTCATGGAAGTGAGATAAAATAAGGGAGCTTTTAAGGTGAAGTTGGCATATTAATTTTTTTTGGTGCAGTTATTTTAATTGGCCAATCAAAATGTACTATTATAAATCCTAATTATCACATTATTGTTATATATGAAATTTCTATTTATTGCATATCAGTCTTTCATAAAATTAATATTAAATTAAAAATAATTTTTATTTGATAAAATCAATTCTGAATTGAAATCTCTAAATCCCATATGCATCTTTCGATAGATCGCCTTCATCTTCTTCTTCTTCTTCTTCTGATCATTCATCTTCTTTCAGTGGTGCAGAATGAATCAGTATTTATTTCAATTCATCCTTCACTTTATTATCAACTAACTATTATCCATCATATTCATCCTCATCCAAGGGTATCGAAAAATTTTCATCTTCGTTGTGCTATTATCTCACACATATTCAGAGTGGAATGATGTCTTCATTTTCACATATAATTGTTCGTATTCATCTCAATCTTTATATTTTTCTAAAATCAAGTTGATTTTAGTTATTATGCAATAATTTATCGAATTGGATATTAATGTTGTATGTTTAGTTGAAGTTGATTTGGTGATTAGGGCTTGTATTTTAATTTGAAGCTGGTATGTGATTTGGGGATTGTGGTTTGTATTTTAAGTTGAAGTTAATTCAATTCTTAAGCACGAATTATAGAATTGGGGATTAGAGTTTATATTTTATGAAATTCATAAATTCATTAAAAAAATGCATTTGAGTTGAATTGGTAGATAGTAAAATAATCGTAATTTAATTGAATCTTCAGGGTTTCAATTGAATTGTTTGTTTTTCAGTTGCATAAAGAGAAATTTATATTGTGATATTATTCAAATTTAAGTTGTGGTTGAGTATTATTGTGAATTATTTTGATGATTTATTCTTCAAATATCCTGCAGTTAAGTAATGGCTGCAAACAGTTTACTCAGAGTATTTGAACTCGAAAATACACACTGAATAAGGGCTTGTATGGGTAAACAAAACAGAGTTAATTCATGAAGGTTATCTCACTTAATGGAATAAGGTTTGATTGTTGTTGTTGTTTTACTTTTATAGATTAAATATTTTGATAACCAACAGTAGATTTGGAGAAAGAGTTTGTTCAGTGGACTATGTAAGACTTTAATTTTACTGGTGTGCTATTGTTGGACAATGTTTTTCACCTTTTTGTGAGTTTCATTCATATGAACAATTGTTTTTGTTGTTAACAAACTTTTTAAGCTAATATTCCAAACATTTTTTACATCGAAAGATTTTGGCTTACATCAATAAACCTCCTGAAATGTTGAATTTCTTATAAATGATTTCATCAACCTTTTTTAATTATTGCATCAATGTGCGTTTATTGATGTAATTGTTCACGAGGTTTTCATGGATGGTACAAGCCCGCAACAATCTAATATTAAAATATTTGGTGTTTGGAATGAGTTTGAACTCAAAATCAGACATTGACGAAGGGCTTGCATGGGTAAACAAAACAGAGTTAATGTGTGGTATTATTAACAAGCAACAATGATGTCTCTATGTGGGATGCAAGGAAATAACATAAGAAACGCATGCCTGTAAGTTTGAGATAAGTTGTAGTACATTAACTGTGATAGAACGATTTTATAGGAAAAATACTATGTGTTTGCGTTAAATAATGTAAGATTTTTAGTCCCAGCTAAAGCTTATACTTTATGATTATAATTTATCCAATTTAATGATAAACATGGGAATGTTAGTCATCAAGAAAGTACTACTAAATTAGTTGCAATTTGAGCTTTCCGTTGAATCAAATAGATTGAAAATGTTTGTTTCATAGCAAAATGTTCATTTTTTGTTTCCATGGTAAAGTTAGTATACGAGTTCAATAACAATTTTTGAAATAATTCTAAATTATCACACTAAGTCTATGATTTGAATTTAATAATCACTTTAGTTTTGCTGCATTTTGAAACAGCGTAGACGAGTATGCAACATGTTGGTTAGAGTTCTAGACAACTTCTGAAGAAGGAGAATGTAAACATAAGAGGTCAAGTCATATGTTAACTCAAGTCAATTTTACATAGCCAAATCATTGAGGTATGTTAAATCCAGACGTATGATATCATTATTTTTGTGAGTTATTGAAAAATAAAAATGTTATGTGTATTTAGTGTGTAGATGTTGTATAGTAATTAGTTTTGAAATTTGTCATAAAGGCAAGAAAAAGACATATGATAATTGATAATATTATACAAAATACAGAATCAATCATCCAAAAAAATGTGGCAAATTGTCAATATGAAACATCTAAATAACATATTACAACCCAAAATATTTCTAAATTAATGCACAATCATAAAAAACATCAAACTTCAAACTTTAACCTAATTTTACCAACGTTTTCCTTAGCTTTACCTGCTTCTTTCAGTAAGCTGCCGACTTTGCCAACACTTCGGCTAACAACATTATTATCAGAATGTAACAAAAAAATGTGAGTTTCATTCTTGTCGAAGTCACAACCTGTATAAAATATATTTATGAATATTTAGAATAATTTAAAATATAATTACAAAGGAAATGATTAAGTTAATAATATTCACGTGAATTCAACTTACATTGATTTCATTAAACAAAGTTTGGAAGGGACAATCAATCATCCACTTACATACCCAAACTCCACAATCATTTATATGGTCAGTGAGTAAATGCATTAGTGACAAGTAATAGGTAATATTGTCAATCAATTAAAATAGAGTAAGGTTAAGGTATGAGACTACTTACGATCCGGAATTTTGTTGTTTAAGGGATGTTGGTTCCGCTATGCTGAAGGTTGTTACCGTATTTCCTCGACCAAATGGAAGGATATCACCAAAATATTTGTGACACAGAATTTCCTCAAAAAATATGGCATGTCACATAGTACAAACCAAAGTTTAAAAAAATCCAAACAATAGATTGGAAAGTTAAAAAAAAAATCCACACACACATGCATACTATTTTCAATATTGCACGGTGTCTGGATGTGTGTCTTTCAGTGTAATCTAGAGAGTCCAACCAATACAATTTTTTATCCAAAAAATCAACAACCAGGAGATACCAGTGCTCTCCAAGGTCGTTCATCAGAATAAAAATATGCAAAAATATAATTTTAAGTTTTAGACACAGAGTCTTTAACGTGCCAACTGCTTTAACACACAACTCACCCTGTAAACACGTTCTTTGGTTGTCATGAAATGAGTCTGGTATATATCCCTCGCGTAGTCAGGACTGTGATGTCCTTCCAGGGCATATTGCTGCAATTAAAATAAAAGATTAAATGTATTATAGTTCAATTAAAGTTAGACAAACAGAATGTACAAGTAACAGTAGTATAGTATAATAGTAATCATCGCAAACTCAATAGGCATATACACAACAAACTTAGTCTTTCCCACCGTATCTATGAACCAGTTTTGTCTTGACGCAACAAGATTAATAATTTGTATTTTCATATGAAAACGGCCTTAACATAATTATACTTAAATGGGATAAATTCAACTTAGTATCATATTAACAATAACCTCCTAGTCCAAAGGGCATCTTGGCATCAGGGTCTTTAGTGCTTTCCGATCTCCATATACATTTGGATATGTTTTTACCAAAACCCCATTGATGCTTAGAAAATTGTAATTATCATCAAATCAAATGTGATGAATAAACTTACTATTAGGTATTAGGTATGTGCATTAAAATTAAATACCCGTGAAGTTCTTCTCCGTCACTCATAAAGACGTATGCGGCAGTGCAAGCACATATGTCATTTAGTACCATTATCGGAGATGGTTGAAATGTCATTGGCCTCCACTATCATTAAATACACATAAAACAAATATTGTTGTAATCAATAATGTTATATCATGTAATATTAGGTTTTATTCAAAATAAATAATAAATACTTACTTCAGGAATTTCAACAGCATGGTGTTCACCTTCATATCCAACACTTTATTAGATGGATGGTAGTTGAGGTAGAAATCATTATCTACGGGATCTCCAGGTCGGCAGAAAAGAGTTTTCCTAACTTTTGGGATTTGCCAGTCATCTACATTTTTCTTCCCCCCTTTTTTTGCCTGATTTTTGGCGGTGCCGAGGTTGTGCCTAAAGTCACATCCCGCTTAGACTTTTTTGCTTTCCTTTCAGTTACCGCCGCCTTTTTAAATATTTTTTTGCATTGCACAATGGGTGTAGATGTCGTTGAATCATAGTCTTTAGGAACAACTTTGTCACGGCCAGTCGTAGTAGTTTTATGACTACTTAAATCATTCAAAAAAATCAGTTTATTAATAGTATAAAAATAAGATTAACACTCAAAAATACAAGTTTAGTTATGGTTTAAATATAAGTTTATTTCAAGGAAACGTAAAAAAGGTTCCTGAGAGTATTATCCATCAAACACATATCATACATGCTAATAGGTAAACAAAAATAAGATTTTATAACCTCGGTGAAATGACAATGATTTCGGATGTAAAATGCTTTGTGTGATTCTCAATATATTTCTCACTAATTTGTAGAGTTAGAGTTGAAATTTTGAACTTCTTATATGTTGCTGGTTTGTGATGCCTTTTGCATTTGGTGCTTGGTTTTCCCATGGATGGGTTTTTTTCTTCAAACTATAAGGTAAGTTTGTATATTTTGTGTGCAGAAAG